AAAATAAAATAAATTTTATTTTATTTAAATTTTCCGCGTGATGACGTCACGATGACGTAGTGAGGGTATGTGGTTTTCTTAAAGGGGTGTTAATAAATCAGAAGAGGGGTTGTGGCCAAGAAACTTTAGCCACGCCCCCTTTTACTTTTTCGAAAAATATTAACTCGTGCCACTTCCTCGCATATCATGTTCTCCTGTTACAAATTCAGATTTTCGACAAAATTTCGAAAATTTTCTCGAAAATTTGAATTTTTACCAGGATCACATGATGTGCAAGGAGGTATCCGGTTTTCATGCCACTTCCTCGGGTATCATGTTCTCCTGTTACAAAATTAATTTTTCGACAAAATTTGAAATTTTTCTCGAAAATTTGAATTTTTAACAGGATCACATGATGTAACAGGAGGTGGCATGGTTCAGGAATTGGTTTTACAGGGTAGAAATAATTTTAACTAAGTATTTAATTTAWTTTAATGATATTTTATTCATTTAAATATCTTATAGAGTACATTTTTTACAATTCTTTAATGTACATTTCATTTGTAAGATAGATAGATTACAATTTATATAAAAATATAATTGTAAAACGTAGTACGTTGGTTTTTTAGCCGCTGATGTGTGTTAAAAATCCATTGGATGTCTTCTGATTGTCCTTTTGGTAACAGGAAACTTCTGTAAGTCCTCAGATATGATGGGAATCGAATATATTTTCAGTCTACTCCAATAATATGACTTGTAACTGTAACAGCAATAAAGAATATTACATGTAAAACATAAAAGTATTATTAATAAATATATTCATTAAATGAATTCATGTTAAATGTTTAATATATATTATAAATAATAAGTTGTACTTACTTTTTTAACTAGATTCTTCGTCTTTTTTCAAATTAAATATTTTACACTGCATATATCCTGTATTTGCATTCAAAGTACATTGACAGGTAGCCGTGTTGATTTTATCCAGGCGAAATTATGTTAGTGATGTGTTATCTGACGTCTAGATGGCGGCACATATTCTACCTGTCGATAAAATAAAGTAACAGTTATTACCATTAGATTGCAACAGATTTTCTGCTTGTCGGTAAAATAAAGTAACACTTACTATTGCTAGATGGCGGCACATGTTCTGTCTGTCGGTAAAATGAAGTAACAGTAACTACCGCTAGATGGCTGCACATATTCTACCAGTCGGTAAGATGAAGTATTAGCAAGTACCGTTAGATGGTGGCACATATTCTACCTGTCGATAAAATAAAGTAACAGTTATTACTGTTAGATGGCGACACTTGTTTTAATGTCGATAATAAATTACAGATTTTTAAATATATTTATGGTAAATGATTAAAAATTAATGTAAATCATTTTGTAAATGATAAAAATAAATGTTTCTTATCAGTATTATATTATTTGCTTTTTTCTTAATAAAGATTATTATTTTTACCTTTGATTATATTGTTTAGATTAATTTTTCTCACTGTAAATTCATCCTATGCATCCATATTAAAGTATAATAAATTACAGATAATTTAAAACTAACATTACTATAATAATTCATATAATAATTATAATAATGTTACTATAATAAACATTTATTCTTTGCAATAATATAAAATTACACTTTTATAATCGACGAGGACACATTTACAATATTTCACAATGGTAAATCCGTGTACACTTTTGTAAACGATCGCATAAAGAAGAAGAAGATAATAAAATGCTGTTCTGTCTGTCAAGTTTTCTAAGAAAAAGAAAAATATTCTCTTTATTTAATTTTTTTTCTTTTTCAAAAACGAAATGAAAAACAAAAAAAAATAGAAAACTAAACAAAAAGAAGAAAAAGAAGAAGAAAAAGAAAACGCAGAACAAGCATTAACTTCATTTAACAATCGTATTTTGGGAGTACACTGTATAAATGTTATAATTCGCCATATTACGTAAATTGTTATTAAAAATCTAAAAAAAAAAAGAACATGTTTTCCTAGTACGAAAGATTAATTATTATGTTCGATTTGATTTTAGGCATATTAATATTATTATTATAATTATTATTATCATTATTATTATTATTATTATAATAATTATTATTATTATTAATATTCCATAATATTAAATATTTAATAATAAGATACTTCATTTGCGAATAAACGTCAACTATAATGTGAATCTTCTTCTCAATCTTTAGTTAATATGTGTTATTAGTGAAATGTAATCTCATAAATATAAAGTATACATATATATATTACAAAAATGTACAATGCCCATGTAAATAATTATTTTTACGTATTAAAACATAAGATCATTTTCTTATTATTTATTATTTTAATAATTGATACGCCAAAATGTCTGGATGATATCGCGTACGTAACCAACAACAAATTTTCATTTAATTCATTCCTTAATCAACTATAATATATATATATCTATATATATATATTATATATAGCAAATATATAATATATATACATACATATATATATATATATATGCTACTTACATAAATACAATCTTATTTACAAAAAAGAAACACGTGTGTTTTTTAATTACCTTGCACATTGTGTTAGTAGTTTGAAACAATTCGATTATATTATCTTATTTATCTTATTATCTTTTTATCTTGGTATACAAAATTTACTTTCCAAATAAAATGTTATAATCAATCAAAATACATTTTTCTAATTAAAAAATGATTGAACAAATTGATGATAACGATGACGACGATACAATGGAATCTTCATTGAACTTTCTGGTTGTTTCAACATTTTTCAATGAATTGTTATTAATGAAAATGATAACATATATATATATTTATATATCTAATTCATCCATCTATCTATCTATCTATTTACTTATACATTTATAAATATACTTATATACCAATATAATAATAATAATAATGATAATAATAATATGTACACGTGCGAACGGAGAAACCTGTCGCGAAATTGTCGTGTAAGCCTAGCTAACTACTTAAATGATCAACTAAATACACACATACATACATACACACACACACACGCATAACTTAAAAAAGTGTAACCAGGTGAACGCAATATTCAAGAAGTTAGTCGGCACACGAATCCATTTAGCCCAGGGGGAGAGGAGGGTCTCGTGCTTTTCTACACGCAGCTGAACTTGACACCTGAAAATGGAAAAGCAGCAATGGATGAAGTGTGAAACGAATTTAAAAGGAAATTTTGTTAAGTTTGGGGGGGCCATGCAGGGGACAACATGCAACTTGAGAGACAACGATTTTAAATCTAGCCCAATGACTAATTACTATTATTGTTATAATTATTACTACAAATACTACTATTGTTATTATTATTATTAACACTTTAATGGCAGCACGAGTAACGTAGTATACAACGTCAAAACCAGGAGGTTTTGTATAATATTTTTGAAGAATTAATTTTTAAACATTTGAATTACATTTACATAAAACAATTTAACAAGAAATTTAGTTTTGTACTAATTTTAAATATATACAAAGTTATAAATAAATAACAGTTAATAACAGTTGTTTCGGTTATTACACACATGTTGTGTGAGTGGCCATTAAAGTGTTAATATATATATATATATTGCACTATTATACAGCTTTGAATTTTATTTTATTCATCTTCATCTTCTTCTTATTCTTGTTCTTCATAATTAGATTTGATTTGATTAATCGTTGTCTTTTGGTTGCATGACACTCCTGCATGAATTTTTATAAAGAGTATTAAATTCTCGGCGTTCTCGTTACACGACATTTACCTAAATCTTATAAACTGTACGGAATAATACTAGGTAGAGTTTTAAGTGTGAGTACCGTCGTCACTGGAGTAGCAGTTATGGCAGTGGAGCTTGTGGTTTCGAACGCGTACGTCCGTTCCCATTAATCCGTCACCTAGTCGTACGTGACAGACACAACACTTGAAGCATTCCATGTGGTAGAACAAACGTAGACTCTCGATTATCATCGCGGCTCCTCGACCTATCACAAATTATTTATAATTACAATATTTTCTTTCATTTGTATTTATCTTACAAAAGTTGTTCATTTTATCAAATTCAAATTAACACTTTGACTAAGTCACGTTGTAAAATAATCATAGAAATTAATACAGTAGTTTTACTGTAGTTTTATTACAATATGGGAACTTGTAATACAGTTTTGTTAAGCATGATTCATAAATTGTTACAATTTTTCTATAAAATCTTAGAAACGTTATAAGAAAATTGGGGATAAACTTTTCTATAACACACTTGAACTTTTACAGTAATCTGATTTTGGTTTGAAACTATTTACAAAACTAATATTATCTTAAAATATAATGACACGGACATATAATTAATTTTAAATCTTATAAAACATGTCATTTTTATTTAACACTAAATATACCAGACCAGTAATTTTGACTAGTCGGCCATTTTAATTTATATAACACTTCATTTTTGTAAATAATATTAAGCGTTTTGTTATTTAAAAATGTCTATAAATTCATTTATCTATTCAAATTATTATTGTTAAACATTATTTTGTTATTTTTTAAGAATAAATAAAAACTGGAAGCCTCAAAAAGCATTTTGTTTTTTATACACCCAGTCATTTTGACTAGGGTGGTGGTTAAGAAACCTATCTACCGTGTTACCCGTATTTCATTTACATTTACAATGTTTTAGTGTAATTGTTTAATCACTGTAACACTTTTTGTTTCAATATATACATTAGAATTAACAGTAATGTTCAAAATGCCATTGTAACTGTAAATGTTCAATTGAACTTATTACAAATGTAAGTAGTACAAAACGTTCCGGTCACCAATTTTACCATCACCGTGACGTAGTCAAAGTATTCATAAAAATTCTTTATCTTCATTATTATTTTTCTATATATGTATATATTCCTTTTTCATTTACCTAACTCATCTCCACAATGAGAACATTTCTTTTTTCCACTGACGCTTAACATTTTTTCTTGATTGTCAGGGTTGTTAGAAGAAGAAGAAGAAGAAGAAGAAGATGGTGGTGGTGGTGGTGGTACTACAGGTTGTTGTGATTTTTGTTGTAATGTTAATTGTTGATTATTAGCATTAGAATGTTGAAGAGGAATATGTTCTTGACTCGTACTATGTTCTAATCTGAAAAAAAAAAAAAACAAGAGAATCATTATTATTAAAAATTGTTATATTTCATTTTTAACACTTTAATGGCCGCTTAACACAACATGTGGGTGATAGCCAGAACATTGGCCGTTATTTATATATAAAAATCAATTTGTTATTAAATTGTTGTTTTATATAATATTAATTTGTTCGTGAATAACAATAAAATTTGTTTTAAAATTAATTCTTGAATAATATTAATACCGGGTTCTTAACGACGTTTGACTACGTACACGTGCGATCATTAAAGTGTTAATATGAACTATGATAAATGAATTGATACAAAATGTTAATAAAACAAAGTATGATGATATTTTGTACCTTCTTCTTGGAGATAGTGGCTTATCCTGTACTCTGTTCTGTACTCTTTGAGTAAGAGTTTGTATAATGGAATCTGGTAACGGCTTGCTATCCGACCGTGTCGGAGCAGCGGCATAAGGTACAGATGTTCCGGTCACGTGAGGTTGAGACTTTCGTGCAGGTGATCTTTGATTTTTCTCATGAATCCTCCGTTGTTCTGCTTCCTATTAAATATATAAAATAWTAATAATAATCATTATAATAATTATTACAATGAACCAAAAGTTTGTATGTGTTTTTTTAATTATTGTTAATATTTTTGAAGTAAATCTTACAAAAAAAACAATGCATTGAACCAGTTCATTAAAAAAACACAATTTGAAACTTTTGGTTTGTCATAATCAAAGATACTGCACAACATATAATATTGAATATTAAGAGATAAATTTACTTGAATGAGCCAATGTTGATAATTAAAATCATGAATGCCTCTAGGTACATCGCTTTTCCTTCGTTGCACCCACTGATCTCCTTGAACGATTCTTGGTCTAGGTGCTGCACTAAGTGCTTGCAATGTTTGCCTCGTCATTTGTTGACCAGCATGACAAGAAAGTGTTGTTGCAGAAGAACTATGTCTTAATGATGCATCCACTTGTTGTGGTATAGAATCAGCTGATGGTACACGACTATTCCTAAAAAATATACAGAACAATACATTAGAGATCAATTAAAATCAACATGTGTTTTTTTTTAAAATAATATTATCAATTTATAACAAAAAGATTTGAAAATAGTAGTCAAATTGATTCATATTACTAAATCTAGTTGTTAATTGTTTTTTCCTAGTTTGTTTTATAAATGTGTATCACAATTATATGAAGAATTTTATGCAATGATAATAATCAAATTTGTTTTTCTGTAAATAAAGAGGTTAGGTTTCATTATTTATTTAAAACCGTGAATTTTATTATATTACAATTTACCTGTAATTAGTGAGATGACAATTAAAGATTATTATCGGCTGCTTTTTATTTACACTAGTTCAATTAATGTTATAAATTAATTGTTTAAATTTTCTTATTATAATATTATTTATCTCACTTTATTTATTTAACTCTCTAGCTGTCACATTGCTCGATTGATTAATCGATTACTATCGATTTATTGATCTATGTCTCTTTCTACGCATGCGCAGCAAATTCAAACGAAAGAAAATATACTTTTCTTTATATATAAATTATTATTAATATTTTATTAATTATTATTATATATTTTATTATATATTAATTAAATAATAAATAAATAATATAAAAAACCGCGTAATTAAAATGAGAATTTCCCCTATGCCTCTTACTTAGAATGCGCGGCAAATTCAAACTAAAGAAAATATACTTTCCTTTATACATAATTTATTATTAATATTTTATTAATTATTAATATATTATTTTAATACATATTTTATTATTTATTAATTATTAGTATATTATTAATATATATTTTATTATATATTAATTATATATTAATTAAATAATAAATAAATAACAGGAAAATCTGCATAATTAAAAAGGGAATTCCCCCTATGCCTCTTCCTTAGAATGCGCGGCAAATTCAAACGAAAGAAAATATACTTTTCTTTATATATATAAAATAATGTTGATAATTTATATTTTACCTGATAGTCACGTCTCTTTGTCTTTGTTCAACGTGACGTAAAGGTTTGGTAGATGGTATTGGTGGTGGTGGTGGTCGTCTTCTTTGAGCATCCTGTAATTGAAGATTTGGCATAGACGATCTGTAATTTACAGCTGGCTGATGCTTGTATTGTTGAGAAATGTTAGATGAACCATGAGCAACGTCTTGTAATGATTTCCACTGTTCCTGTAATTGTTCCGCCAATTTCAATTGTTTTTGTTCACGATAAGCGAGATTGTTTCGTTGTCTCTTCAATTCTTCCTGTTCCAATTGAAGTAATTCTCTCTCAACACGTAAAACTTCCTGAACGAACCGAAACAACAATAAAACACAAAGTTAATATTACAAATATATACATGTGTTTATAGTTTGTATCACACGAATTAAAGCAAATTATTGGTCAAGGGGTTGTTTTTGGAAGAGTTTAATGAATAATAAAAATAGATAAATAATAGCAGAGAGCTTTTTAATCAATCCCTTACCCCAGAAGCAAATTCATCTTCGTGGTTGTTCAACCCAGCACCAACCAATATCTTGTTCTGCGAATAAGTAGGAATAATAGTTGTTGTCAGTGATCGTAGGAGTTTAAAAAAAACAAACATGGCATGCTAATAAAACGCGTCTAAGAAATCACTTATTTTTATAGTGAATTTATACTGTGCAATAGGATGTGTATATATGTGTGCATTAGCAGTAGAAGACAATCTTGAAAGCACAAACACAAATTTTGTGAATCATTTGTATGCTAAATGAAGCAACTTTAGAACGTGCAGATAAAAACTAATTGATCATTTTCAAATTGTACTCAGTCTATCATCTTATTTTCATCAGGTTAAAAAAAGAACACGTCATATTCTCACCTCTTGCTCACGAATTTGATTTTCCATAGCACGAATTCGTATTTCTTCCTTTCGTCGTACATCAGCAGCAGCAGCAGTAGCAGCAGCAACTCTTCTTTCATTCTCTTCAATCTCATTTTGAATTCTCAATTGTTGTTCAGCTTGAATACGACGTTCCTCTTCCTGTCGCGTAACATCAACTCGTTTGGTTTCTATTTCCATACGAGCAGCTTCCTGTTGTTGTCTCATTTCATCATCTTGATGATGATGATGACGATGATGATGATGGTGATGATTATAAGAAAGATGTTGTTGCTGTTGCTGCTGTTGCTGTTGTTGTAGCTGTTGCTGTTGCTGTTTACGTAGAGTTTCTTCCTGTTTGCGTACGTTGTCTTCATTCTTCCGTAAATTCTCTTCCTGTCTACGTAATACAACTTCCTGTGCTCTCTCACGTTCCAATTGCATCTTTTCTTCTTCCAATTCGCGCAATTTGTGTGCCAATTTTTCTCCCAAATCGCTGTAAATTACGTAAATATGAAATTAAATGGTGTGCGACGTGTTTAACATAAAACAAAACAAGAATTATCCTTTTTATAACTTTGGTTGTGATGGACAGGAAATAAATAAAAGAAACAGAACAAAAAAAAAAAAAAAGGTTACCTGTTGTGTTCGTGATTGTTTCCGTATCGCCATTGTTCCTCTTTTTCTAAAACCTCAATGATTTCTCTTTCCTTTTTCGTGATCTCATCTTCCTCAGATGAGGTAACACTGGCGCCAAATGGTTCGCTACTTTGTCGACTATGCTGGGACATATCAGGACTGACAGGTTGTTTCGTCCAGTCTTCAACGTGTCCCAGTTCGACTCCGGAATCCCTCTCGTGGCTTGAATCCTGCTCGTAATTACTGTCAGTGTCGTAAGAACGACGATTTAGTTGTTCGATACGTCTCTCCTCAGCGAGAATTGCTGCCATGTCTGGTGGCTTCATTAACGTTAATTCCCTTTCCAAGTCATCGTCGTTTATCTATTTTTTTTTAATTTTATTTTTATGTTTTAGAATGTGCAAGACTTGTAGTTTTATACATGTGTTTATAATATTTGAATATTTTGTGTTTTATACAAATTCGAATTTGTAATCTAACAAATGAGTTGTGTTGATTTGATCAAACAAATTCTAATTTGTAATCATATTATCTCTATGATAATTTAATTAAATTTAATATTTATGATAAAAAATAACTTTTAAACATATTTATATGAAAAACTTACGCCTTCAATTCCAAGAAAATCTGAACGTCTAGTTCTCAATTCTTTTTTTATTCTCCTAGTTGAGTTTAATCTTTTGAGAGGTTCCACAGGTAACGTTTCCTCATCACTGATATCATCAACAGGAGGTGGCGGTGGTTTTTCCTTAGGTGGTTCAACTGTTGTTGGTGGACCCAATGGAAAATCTAAATCAGTCACTATTTCTTCGTCGTTCGACAAACTCAACGGTAAAAACTGTAACATAATTTAAAATATTTTATTTATACATACAAATAAATAATACAATAATATTTTACATCAACTAATAATGGAAAAGTAAAAATCACTAGTAGCATCAATGTAATCAAATTAAATTATTTTAATATAATATTTTGATTAATTACCTGTTGAGGTGAGACTGGACTGAGACAATTAATCGTATCAATGTTAGAAGACATTTCAGTTTTGTTGAAATTCAATGAAGTTGGCCTTTCAATTCCAAGTATTATTGGCATTGGTGAAGTTGGTGAATCAGGTGTATCTATTGTCATAACTTCACTAGAATTATTTGTAGTTGTAGTTGTAATAGTAGGTGTAGTATTAATCATAGTTGTTTCAAGTTTTGTATTAATTGATAAATTCTCCATAGATGTTCCTTCTTCATGATCCATCATAGTACTTGTTGTTGTTGTTGTTGTTGTTGTTAGTGTCTGACTAATAATTTCACTGTTCTTCTCATCGTTTTCTTTCTCCATGAAGATTATTGGTTCCTGTTAAGATCAGTTTGTATGTTGAACAAAATTATCTCTATCATATAACAATAGATATATGTATCTATGAAGGGGTTTTTTCTTTTCTAAAAACTCACTAGATGAATTTTGCAACGCTACATTCTATGCAAATCAACACACAACACGCTCAAGTGAAGACAACATTATACATATATATATATATATACTTTGTAGCAGAGTTTCTCAAACGTTCATTTATATTTTATCTCATCTATTATTATCATTTCTTTTTTTTTTTAAATAATAGAAATCAAAACAACATGTAAGAAAATTTCTTTTTAATGTCTGTTTTATTATTGTAGTTTTGCAATTTTTATGGTTTTTCTGATTGGTAATTGGTTTTTGTATTTCTTCTTTTTATTTTTATTTGGGGAATTTCTTATGAATGTTTTTTTTTTTGATTTAAAAATGAATGATTTATTATTATAAAATAAAAAATTAAATAACTAAAATGTGATAGATAGAAATACATTAAGAATATGTTGTTTAATTCATTCAAATTGTTGACTATTTTTAAATATCAACTTTTTTACAATTTAAATATGAAATATAATAATTATTAAAATTGCAAAATGATAAATGATTAAATTTATCAAAAGAATTGAAATGAATTTATTTAGATTTTGAGAAACACTGATTTTTATATTGGTAATCGTTATGGTCACGGATGAAAAGATCATGTCGAATTTGTTTTATGGTAATTTCGTGTTAGTTTCAAACTCTACTACGTTTATATATATATATTCTTTAAGTATTTGTATAAAATTTCACCATAAGATTTTTTTTTAATCAATTTATAACAACAGAGCAAATTAAAAATGTACATTTTATAAATTGATGAAAAACATTTTGAAAAAAGTTTGATTAATTGTCATAAGTCTGATACTACATACATTGACAGTAAAATAACGTTGCATAAATTTATCATATGATTATGTTAATAAAACTATGAACATGCTTTTACTAATTTCATTTGTCAAAGCCATAATAATAAAATACCATGGTTAATTTATTTATTTTAGGACGAATATTTGTTTGGTGTTAGTTTAATCAATGTTAAATTACTTACTGAATATAATTACACATGCACATGAAAAATTTATTTATATGTTTTTTTTTTTTTTAGAATGATTAATAATAAATTTCGTATAAATAAATTTGTGAATAAATAATTATAATATTATATACTATTACTAGACTACTAGAGTATTTCTCAACGAATAACTGCGTAGTAGTAGTAGTTGATTTTCTGGATAGATGACACAAAACCATTGATAAAAAAAAAAAAAAAAATCAAATATTATTCACCTATAGTGATAAGAAATTTTATCTAATCTACACACACACACACACAGATTCCCGAACGTTTTGTTTAAATAGTTTAAAAACGAAAATTTCAATGAAATTTATTTGCAAATTATTCGAGTAAAATTAATTGTTTTTAAAGTTGTTCAAAAAAACATATATTATGTTAAACATGTATTTTCTTCGACGTATATCAGTGCGATTTGTAAGTAAAAAAAAAAAAAAAAAAAAAAAAAACAACACATAAACAATGTTTATGTTTTATCTTTTTCAAAAAAAAATAAAAAAAGAGAATTTGAGAATCCTCACTCTAATAGATAAGAACATTCTTTATTATTATCGTTATCTAATATAAATGTGACTTTGTTGTTTACGTCATTGCATTGATATTTTTTTTCTTTTTTCTTGTTTCATTTTTTTTTTTTGTTAAATTCATCATGGTAATAATTATTATTCCGTGTTTTTAAATAACTTATCTCTATCAACTAACTCGACTCATAATTATTTGTATAATTTTGTTTGTCTTTCAACCAGTAAATGATAATTTTCTTGATAACAATCCAATAATTTTATTAACAAAATGTTAAACATATACTAATTAAAATCATTATTTTTATATTATATTAATGATCGTAATATTATTTAAATTAATTATTAAATATTTGTTTGAAATGAATATTAATAATATATTCTCATAAATACAAACATTTAGTTAAACTATGATGAATTAAGAGAACAAAATAAAAAAGAAAAATTCATCCCCTTTTTATCTTCAACTATTATTATTAATATTATTTATTTATTTATTTATTTATTTATTTATATATTAAGCAACTAAACAAAAAATATTTTTATTCGCACGTTGAAAGTGTGAAAAGTTTTACACAATTGTGGTCTGGGCTCATAGTAAAAATAATTCATAAGAAGCATTTCACAACACATTCCAGGAAGGTGATGGTTTGGAAAAACTCTTTTTTTAAGAGAAAGCAACTTGCTGGAACGAATCGTAAAAAAGAGAGGGTGGGTGGTGGGTAGGCAACTATGGTGGTGGTAAATGGTTCAATGCCATGCTTTATATTTTTCAAGAGGGGGTAGACAAGAGTTATGGTATGAACAAAAATTCAAGTGCAGAGGGTGGGGGGGTTTCACTACTACTAACTAACTGTTTTATACAATTGAGCTGAAAGGGATGAAAATAAAGAATTTGAAAATAATCAGAAGAAAGAATTAAAACAATGAGTAAAAGAAGATTTAAATAAATGAAATGAGAGATAAACAAATTTTAAAAACACGTTCATTACCATGTATCACATATATCTGTCTCTCTGTATATGTGTGTAAGTATGTAAAAAAATAAATGCATTATTAAAATGTAGACAAAACTTTTGACTGATAATTAACATAAACAAAAAACAAAAAATTGAATTAAATCTACGATTTATTTTTAATTAAAATTATTTATCATTTATAAATGAATTTATTGAATTAATTCTAAGTTTTGCACATATTTTATATGTTTGCTATACTTTGATAAATACTTGCTATAGTTTAATAAATACTTTGCTATATTTTAATGAATATTTGTTATACAAGTGAATAAATAAATATAATTGTTTATAAAAACAAGACTATGGGGTTTGTAATTTGGTTTGTAGTGATTTGTAGTGGTTTGTAATTTGTAATTATTTTAATATAAGGTGGTTATGGTAATGAACATGTGTTAAATATATATAGTTTATATAGGTTTTATAGGTTATGTAAGTTAAGTGGTGGTGGGGGATAAAGTATGAAGGAATGGGAATGGGGAGGGGGGTTAAGCAAAATGGTAGGCAAAAAACTAAGAAAGCTGGCAAAGAAGCAATGAAATAATGCCAAATGCCACCCTTACCTCAAATTTCACGATTATTTTTATACACCCAAGCTTACACGAGGAGGAGAGATTTCTATGCAGAGCTTCATAGGAGGAGCGATTTTACAGCAACGTCGATGAAGAAGTAACAGTAGAAGAAAATGAAGAAGAAGAAGAAGAAGATTGATAAAAGGAAAAAATTTAGAAAATAAAAATAAAGAAAAGTGAACTGGGGGAAGGGGGGTTAAGAATGAAGGAGTAAAGTTCATGGTGTCATGGAATTTGTTCAGCTAAAGTTGACGATGATGATCATCATCATGTCTCGTTTGATTTTATTAGACTTATTTTGTTTATAGTATCTTCTTTTTTTTTGGGTATTTAGTTTTGTTTGATTAATGTTTTCAATTAGTGGTTTTCAAATATATTTTTGGTGGTGTTGTTGTTGTTGGGGGTTGTGCATATGTGTGTGAAGTGTATTTTATTTTATTCCAAATAATTTATTAGGATTTTGTAATAACTATGATAATTATTATAATTGTAATGATTATTTATTTTAATTTTTAATTTAATTATAAATTATTAAAGTTTGAAAAAAATAAAAAGAAAAGTAGTAGAAGAAAAATTCATATTTTAATCAATTATTTGTTAATTTTTGAATCTATTATTTTTCAATGGATTAAAAATTATGAAAATTTAACAAATAAAATAAAATAAAAAGAAACCTAGAAGAAATAAAATTAATAATTTAATTTAGATTAATTCATTTAATTCAATTCAAATGAATTTCATAACGTGTTGCATCATTTGATAAAAGTTTGAAAACCACTGTAATGATTTAAATAACAATAATAATAAAAAATAAAGAATAAAAAAAAAGAAGAGAAGTGTCTGGGACTTAGGGTTACGTGACCTTTGATTTTGATGTCACGAGGACGCAACACTTTGACCGTACTTTATTTGAGAGCACGTATTGAACTTGCAATTGACGATGATGAATGTATTACTCTATCAAATATACATATATATGTGTGTGTCTGTATTATCTTTAATTTAATACGAGTCACATGATTTAAAAGATCAAACAAAAAAAAAACAATAAATAAAAAAAGAATTTTAAATTTAATTTTTCCAACATGACATTTTTCTCTTCACTTTAATTGTGTGTGTGTGTGTGTGTGTGTTTGAAGGAATTTATTTAAAAATAATATTTAATTAATTATTTGTTGAAAAAGAAAGGGGTTGTGTTTAGTTGTGTAGAAGTGTTTATTTTATGGAGAAAGAGAAGAAGAAAGAAAAGAAAGAAAAGAAAGAGAAGAAAGAGAAGAAAGAGAAGAAAGAAAGAAAGACAGAGAAAGAATACGTCATGATTATTTATATTTATATTTATATATATATATATATATATGCATGTAAATTTATATTATATTTTCCGAATATTACTACTACTACTACTACTACTTGGAACTCTAGCTCTAACTTGCGATTACTTTTTTTTTTTTTCTTATTAATTTATAATTTATAATTTAATATTAATTTAATCAACGCTTTATATTATATTTCCTCTTTTTTTTTTTTTTTAATGTTATTTTATTTTATTTTATTTTATTATACTTTGTTTTTGTTATAGTTTCTTTTTTCCGGTCTCGCATCGCAATGTTATTTATTTATTTATTTATTTATTGTTTTTTTTTCTATATACACATAGTTTTTTTTTTTTTTTTAATTAACCACGAGGATTAGGGGAGGGGGAGGATGATTTTATTCAATCCTCCTATTCATTTGTATTTTTTTAATTTTTGTTTCTTTTTTTTTTGTATTTTTTTTTTGTTTTGTTTTGTTTTATTACGCTTTTAAATATGTTGGTACGCGTAATGAATGACGACGACTCTGACGACGACTTTGATGACGACTTTGATGACGATGATAATGATATATATATATATGTTTGAGGGAAGCTATAGGTAGAAGAAATATTGTTTAACAAATTGAAATTGTTATTATAAAAATTAATATTAACTTTAATCAATATTTAATTCAATAAATTTCATTTAAAACAATCGTGATTGTTTTTTTTTTTTTTTTTTTTTAATTTAAAGTCAAGTTTATTTTTCTTGACATGGAAGACTATGGTTTTTTTTTTTCTTTTTTTTTACGAAGACAAGAAAATAAATCAAAAAAGAAAAGAAAGTTAATGAATGAGACAAAAATTTGTATAAGAAAAAAAAAATAAAGAACGCGTTGTGTTTGGTTTTTTTTTTTTTTTTTAAATTGCAATTGAAAGTGCACATTTAACATCATCATTGATTTAAATCAATAAATTATCTTTTATAGAATTATTCTATTGAAAATTTGTATAAATTAGAAATCATTTCACTTTAAATTTTATTTCTCTACCACCAAGCTTCCCCTTTTGAAAATTTTATATACAAAAAAGAAAAAAAATTCTATTCGCAATTATTATTATTAAGGACGTCCCATACGAAACAATTAAATAACTTGTGTACATATTTGTTAATTCAATTTGTCAATTTGTATACACACGAGATTTCTAAAATACTAATAATAATATTAATAATAATAATATTATATATGATAATATTAATTAATAAAAATGTAATATTTAATATAAGATATTATATATATATATATATCTATATATATATATATATATATAAATTCTTCATTGCACATTTTCTTAGTATTATTATTATTATTATTATTATAAATAATATATCATAAGGAAATATATAATTACGAATTCTGTATCAAATATACACATATATATATATGACAATATATATATATTATATTTGACATATTATATAATAATAATAATAATAATAAATGTTTTTTAAATACACGTATATGAATTATTTATAAACTTGCATACAGAATTTAAACAATCACTAATTGTAATATGTAATAATTTTGTATTCATTTATTAAATAAACAAAAAAGAAAATATAATAAAAATCTTTCATATGAAACCATCCTCCCTGGTGATATTTAATATGAAACATTAATTCATTAATTTTATTTAATTATTAATATTAATAGTATTTTATTGAATACATTAATATTAATAATATTAAAGTTATTTTCTTTTTTTTTTTTATTTATATAATGAAATAAAAAATTATTTCATCCTAACAATTAGTTATCGTTTGAATAAATTCCTTTGAAAATTTGCATTATTAATTAAATTAAATTATAAATAAATGACACGTATATATATGTACATTATACATTTAGTTTCGTATGGTTAACCTAGAAATCTAGTTACTATTTTTTTTTGTTTTTGTTTCTTTGTAAAATTTTCTTTAGCAAATTACAGAAAGAAAAGAAAAAGAAAAATCTAAAATGTGCTTCTAATTGAAAATAGTCGAAATAAATAATGAAAATATATATATATATAGGAGATACGCCCCTGGACTGAGATAATTATAATGATAATGATCATGATATTAATAATAATTATCTTTAAGATTTTTTAAAAGCGTTGTTACGTCGTTGTTCGATCCTAACCTCTGCCATGGTTGAATTCATCTTCTCATTAACGCGATCCACCGTGATGAATGGTGTTACTGATGGTGTCCCGGGTATTTTTCCATGGGGTACCACCACCTTTTCGCAAATTTCCACAACCGTTCGTCGTCTTTCGTCACAAGGATTTGTTATTGTATCCTCGGCATTTGTTGTTGTTGTTGTTGATTGTTGGTTATCCGTGTTGGATGTAGGTGAGGATGATGAAGATGAAGATGAAGATGAAGTAGTAGTAGTAGTAGTAGTTGTAGTAGGACAAGATGACGATGACGATGACGATGATATTTTGGATGATGAATTAGAATTAACTGGAAGTGGGATTTCCGAAGCTTTAGGATTTTGGTTAGACGAAGTACGAGTAGTTTTTGACGTTGACGATGAAGCCGATGATGACGATGACGATGACGACGATGACGATGATGATGATTGGAGTTTGGGAGTAGATGATGACGTTGTTGGTGGACTAGCATGAGTTGGTGATGATTTAGTAGGCACAGTTTTACGTGGGAGTGGTGTTGGGATTTTGGAAGCTGTTCGTGTAATCTTTGAAGTGTCTTGAATTGGACAAGTGTTGGTGGTGCTTGATGATTCCATAGAAAGGTTTGAAGGTGTTGATGTTAATGGATTGTCTTCTATGGGAATGGGATCTTCTGTATCTTTGGTAACAGATAAAGTTTCGTTGTTGTTGTTGTTGTTGTTGTTGTTAACGGGATCAATAGGATGATCCTTTAAAAGGTTTAGCTTCGGTTTAGGAAGTGTTTCAGGTGGTGTTCTTCGTGGGGGTACTCTGGGACTTTGATAGACAATCGGACGATTCGACGTGGGTGGTAGTGTTGTTGTATTAGAGTTAGTATTAACTTCTACTTGCATATGCGGGCATGATTTGTTAGTCGACCGTTCCCCAGAAGAAGTATCAGCAGTATCCTAAGAAATTAAAAATGTATACACCAGATTTTTACCATTAAACCATATACCCAATTAACGACAAATTGACAAACAAAAAAGAAACCAAAAAAAAAAATATAAAAACAAAAGTTATTATTTATACAGTTATTAATTGAAACGTTGGTTTGTTAAGTGTAGTACTACCACGTGACCCGGATATTTCTGCATGTCTTCGAAATTCAACGATGATAAATATAGAAAATAAAATAAAGCCTCGGTGGTAAGTGTGGGGGAGGATTAGGAAATAAAAAAAAAAAAAAAAGCATATACAAAAATATAATCTAATCCTACCTTAGTTGCTACTGCATCTTGCTGATGATTGGTGACAGTCGTCGTAGACTCGTTGGCAACAACGGTGCTCGACTTCGTCATAATTATATTATTATCATGATTAGACGAAGTTGAACAACAAGAAGTAGCCTCGATCGTTCGAAGATCCTCTGGTTTTTCTTCGATAATTGTAGTTGCGTGTACGATGATTTCTTCGTCAACCGGTTCATCTGCTTGGCTAACCGAACAACTAACGTCAGCTGTGTGAATTCCAGAATCCTCACGATCGGTATCGTTCAAAAGTTCGGCCGATGATGACGAGGCTGGATAACGTCGACCATAATCAAATTCTTCGAGACTTTGAACACGTTCGAAGGTGTCAGGTCCACTGGAAGCATCGGCATCAAGGGAATCGAGACTTCTATGAAAGGCAGCTCTAGGTGCACGATATTCCGAGTCAGGTGATGAACTTCTTTCGCTAGGTGTTGATGTATCAATCCTATTTTCTTGATCCCTGAAGCAAAGGGAGTGTTTAACCATCGATACTCTTTTATCTGACGATTCTTTGCTTCTGATAACGTCCAATGCATTTAAACGATCCTTTATTGTTCTAGCGGTAAATTCATTGTTGTGTTGTCTTGACTCATGTAACGTGTTTGGTGGTGCTGATGATTCATCACTGCTGCTATATTTTTCTAACGTTGATAACCTTTCACGAAGTGGTCTTACATTTTCCAATTCGTCACCACTGTTAACGATTATCTTGTGATTATTGGAAGTATTATTAATCATCTTACTTTCACGTTCTATCGTCTGTTTCTCCAAATGTGACAACCTTTCCCTGATAGAACTCATATCACCGGATAATCTGTTAAGTCCCTTGTTTGATATCTTATCGTTATTATCCAATTCAATTTTTTGCTTCTCCAGGTTGGACAGTCTCTCCTTGATTGACTTCGTACTTGTGAAGTCACCCGAGAGCCTATTATTATTATTATTATTATTACTATTATTATTATTATTATTATTAGCGTTATTTGATTTTTGGTCTGAACACTTTTGCGTTCCCTTCTCAAAGATTTCACGTCTTTTGGATATGTCCACTTTGACAATTGGTGTTATCGTTGTTGTGGTTCCCACAGTTGTTGTTGATGTTGTTGATGCAACTTTGTTATCCTCGTTCAAGCTAATCTTCGATCCATTCGACGAAGACGATTTAACGTTATCCAATTTAACATCCAAATTAACCAATGATCTCCTTGGTATATTTTGCGATACTCTTGAAACGTAACCACGAATTGCACCCTCGTACGTGTACTCTTCCGGTTCTGGCGAACTAGCTGTCGCCGTAGTTGCCGAATCGTATTCCTGATTATGATTATGACCATGAAACCCATTACCAAATGGTTTCTTCGTTGCACTAGTTGCTGTCGTTGTTGTTGCCGTCGTCGTCGTCGTCGCCGTTGTCGTCAGAGTTGTCATTCCGGTTGATGATCGATTAGCGTTATTATTGTTCACATTGTCACCGGTATCACCGGTCACGTTGTCAACGTCCGAGTGGTTCTTTTCAATTTCACTGTCTCTGTCGCTCTGAAAAAAATTTCAAAAGAAACCATGCACGATAGAATACATTTTTTGTTTTATTACATTGTTGCTTTGTTATAAAAAGGTTAATTATAAATTATTTATGGTAAATTATAAGAAGACAAAATAATATTGCAATTATAATGGAATGCATAAAATAATAATACACGAAAAAATATAAAAAAGTAAGGTTAGTTATGCCATATGTAAATCTGAGAAAAATGTACGACGTGAATATAGCCAAATAATTGAATTGTGATACACCACCATCTATTGAATATTTAAACAACTTAGAGACTTAGATAAATAACCCCTAAGTATAATAAATCTTTAAATTTGCAATAAAAATATAATTGTATAAATTAAATATGTAATGTTAATTAATAAAATTGATAAATATCTAATAAGTGTTTATTTAAAATGATAGAAATGTAAACTTACGAGAACACTGTGAGCATCATCGTGGGTGTCACCACTAACTGAACTTTTGCCACTACTAGTACCGATTCCAAGGTCGCTCAAATCGTTCGCATCCTCCTCATGATACATGGCCAGACTAATACTCAATTTCCGACCTCTGTTACCTCGCTCTTCCATCATCTCCGAGAAGGTTTTACTTCGACGACGTTGCCTATCGTGCTCCTCCAGTTCTAACTTTTTAACCTCCACCACTCGTTCTATTATATGCTCTTGACGCTTCCTCCTACTGCTCTTCCAATTATCTAAATTCTATAATAATACAATCATTATTTTATTATTATTATTAATAATAATAATAATAATAAAAAGTATAATATTGCATTTAAAAAAAATATTCATAAGTGTTCCACAAAACCAAAATACACTTATCAAATTATTATTGAATTGTACGTTTAATTATTTTTTGTATTATTTAAAAATTAATTTTAATATAATAAATAATTAAAAATAAGAAACACAAACGTAGTTGACGTACTCTACAAACGTAGACAACTTGTCATACAATTAATTTATCAAATAAAAATTGAATAAATAAAGTTAATAATTATTTGTTGTTATTTATGTTCTTACCGATTGCCAATCTTCCGGATCATCTCGTACCTCCTGTTTGATCTTTTTAACTTCTTGAACTTTTTGTAATTGTTCTTGTGCAGTACGATACAAAGAACATGGTCCAACTTTGACAAATTGAAGAGGATTCGTGGCTTGTTTAGGTGGTATTTTTAACGTTGTTTTTAATTTTGGCGGTTCGTGTGAGATCTGTAAATATCAATAGATAAATACAAATTATTATTTTTTTTTTTTTTAGAAAAAAAGTGTCGTTAAGGTATTGTTTTAAAATCATTCTAATTTTTCTAACGAAAACTGTTTAACGACCGTAATACGCGTAACAATGCAAGTACCGTTCATTCGTTCGTTCRTTTTGTTCGTCGGTAAAAAGAAGGTATGTCAGGTAACATAAATTGGTTAATCGAAGAAACACCTATTGCTTCGCTTTCACATCCGTTTCCTGTGTCTTTTTATTTTGTTTTAATATCAATGTACACACACACACACACACACTAAATTCTTTAGAAATTTTTATTGTTTGATTTGTCAAACGTCTATCTCTTTTTATCTTAAAATTCTAAGAAACCTAAATACTCAAACTTCACTAACCAATTTTATTGTTTAATCCCTCACATTAAACATATTTTTAAATAAATTATAATACTCGATTTAAAAATGAAATAACTTCAATTCTTACGTCAATCAAATCAAATCAAATCGAGTCCAATTGTATCAAATCAATCATTGAAGAAATCATTAAAATAATTGTTAATACTAATGTTTAAGAACCCATTTTATCCCGCTATTTGATTATTTCAAGAATATTCATGAAAGTTGTATAAAAAAAAGTTGATTGAAATGATTGCATTAAAAATTGCATAGGTCATTCCGAAGCAGGATACGATTCAAAACGTGCCAACTGTTTATGCATTGTACAGCAAGTTTAATAGTAGGCATGTTGCATAAGACCCTAACGCGTCATACTTAATAAAACGTAAAAAAATAACTCTCGTAACACAACACGTAAGAAAAGTTTGTAGAAAAAAAAAAAAAAAAGAAAAAAAAAACATAAAGAAACTTTTATATGCACTTTGCCACCGTTCACTTGCACTTTCAAGTTTCTTTCCATCTCTCTCTCTCTCTCTCTCTTTCTTTTTATCTTCCTAGTACATCAACAACAACAACAATAACAAAAAAAAAACATAACATAAAATAGTATAAAATAATAAACGTTTAACGATGACCATAATAATAATAATAATAATAATAATAATTTAAAAACGGAAGCGGAATTACGGCAAGTGAGTTGTTATTTCTCGTCTTTTCTAGCATGAAACATCGTAATCGATAGTATGTTTTTTTTTTCTTCTAATGCTATATCGATTATATTTTATATAAGAGAAAGGTTTTTTTCCCCTCCACCCCCTCCCACCCCTACCCCCAACACGTCCCTTTCGATTTCTTCTTCAAAAGTCGTATCTCTATTAAATAATCGCAATAATTCTAACTAACTCGTGTAACCATTGCGGTGGTTTCACCTGTCTAATTCTAATCTTAGATTGTGTGCCGATTCGATTTTAACGTGGATTTGAAAATAACAAGTATTATTATTATTATAACACCATGGCTAAACATTGGCTAACATCCAAAACACTTTCTAACGTCAATGATTTATTACGCGCGATCGTTTATTTAAATATATATTTATTTTGTTAATTAATTTTTGATTAATGTTTGATTAAATATAATATATATTTAAATACTAGGATGGTTTGGTTACGCATTACTGTGGTTTTATTAGAAAATGTTGATTTAATATAATACTAAACTATTTAGTAAATAATAACCAGAAATAAATCTAAAAAGTAAGGTTAGTTACGCGATATGTAAATCTGAGAAAAATGTACGACGTGAATATAGCCAAATAATTGAATTGTGATACACTGCCATCTTTTGATAATGTTTGGTTAAATATATTTATTTACTAGGATGCAAATGTTGATTTAATGATTCTAATTCTATTTAATAAATTAAAACAACAGATAAAAATAAAACTACAATTAAAATGGAATGAATAAACTAATAATACACGAAAAAAGAAATATAAAAAATAAGGTTAGTTACGCCATATGCAAATCTGAGAAAAACGTACGACGTGAATATAGCCAAATAACTGAATTGTAATACACCGCCATTTATTGAATATTTAAACAACTTAGAGACTTAAATAACCTCTAAATAATTAAATCCTTAAATTAACAATACAAAATAATTTTCTAAGTTGAAAAAATCATACTAAATAATGACAAAATTTCATAAAGATCTTAGTATTGAACTTAGTATTGGAAACAATGTTGCATTGAATTTTTATATATAAAGATTATGATCAATTTAATATAGGATATTAATTGATACGAATTAGGGTGTTATGGGGAATTAGTGAATCCACGTGATCATGAATGAAACATGTTAAAAGCCACGTGTCATAAACGAGTATAAAAAGAAAAGAAAAGAAAAGAAAAGAAAAGAGAAAATGGATTGGTTGGTTGTTGGGGGTGAAGGAGGGGAAGAAGGGGAAGAAGTTAGCCACGATCGTTTATAAAACGAGTATTATACTATACACCATATACTATAGTATATATGTATATGTACTAGAGAGAAAAGGTATATTACATTTGACGTAATACAAACCATAACTCTTTCGTTTCGCCGCTCAGTTGCGGCGGCTTGCGAGGCGGGCATCCTTCCTTCCTTTTTCCTTCGCCTTTTACCACCCTTCCCCCTCCACCCTTACGGTACTCCACCTCTTCAATGTAGAACGAGTGCTCGCACGGATGAGCCCATCCTATGTCTCGTCTCTGGAAAAAGACAAACAGGAAGTGTTAATGAGGATATATAGCATATATATAAATATATATGTATGGTAAAACTATAACGGTTCCTTATTAAAATTATTATTATTTATTATTTATTTATCGAATAAATATATATCGAAGTCTATTTTAATTAACTATCTTTCTATATTTTTATTATTTGTAATTATTATATTATATTATATTATTATATTTTATTATTAAAATAGAAAAATAGATACTAAGAAACATTTTATGCACAATAAACTTTAAAAACATAGATGTATGTATTTTATATTAATTTAAAAAAAAAAAAAAAGACCAAATAATTTTATTAACAAATTATTGAACGAAATACAAGAAATAGAAGAATCAAATGAATTTCATAAGCGTGTGTGTGTGTGTATGTGTGTTCCTCGAAATTGCAATGTATAAATAACACGAATACTTCAATAAATTACCATATAGTTATTTTTTTATAAATTATAATTAGTAAATTCTATATTATTAATTAAATATCCTATAATATATATATAGGATTTATTGATTATATTTTCTAATATATTAAATTACACAATTTCTAAATTTACTATACTTTTTATAAATCCCATATTTAACATACAATTTATTTATTACATTTTCCAATAATCCTCTAAATATATTTAAAATAAAAAAACAAAAAAATATAATAATATAATAAATTTCGTAATATTTTTCACAATTTCATGATAAGAATAACCAAAAGAAAAATATGTAAAACAAACACAGAAGCAACATATTAATAAATTTATTCCACACGATAAAATATATCATATCGATCATCTTTAAATCTTCCTTTCGAAAGTTCAAATTAAACTAAAAGACATAATAAAAAAAAAAAGGAGAATTTCTACTTAAGTGAATACTTTAGTTGATGTGTCCTGTGTATGGTGTGTTGTCTGTGTATGATGGTGGTCCATGTGTGTTCATATGCGTAAAACGTTTAATGAAACGTGTCGCGTGAGCACTGAGCCAAACCACAACATCTGGCGACAAGTGTCACGTTGACGTTATCTTTCGACATATCAAAAACCAGAAAATGACTCGACCTCGATCCTCGATCTTCGAGTTAAAAGAACACACACACATACACACATACACATACATAAAAACACATAGAGAAAGAGAGAAATGCATATTTGATTATCGTTACTTGATTATCATTGAACTAAACGTCATTTATATCTGACCTTTTATTATTATTATTATTATTATTCATTTTCTATTTAATATATTTTATTTCATTTTAATTGTTTTGATCATTTTTATGATTAAAAACATAATATGTGTTTGATTTTTCTTCATTGTTTCGATTAATGTAGAATTAATTGTATTATAATATATGTTTTAGAAAAACAGAAATATAAGTTGTAAAAAAAAAAAAAGGGAGAAAAAAATGGGAAGAAGATGAATATCCACAAAGTTAACTTTCATACTCTTGTTTCTAAGTTACTTTATAGAGTTATACTGTTTTCACAGCTTTAGAAAGTAAGTCTCAGAAGAGAAGACGAATATTGTAGATAAAGTTCTAACGGTTGTTGTTGCTCGAGCAAACATAGTCTTTCTCTTCTTTGCCTACGATGAAACGTTGTTAAATTATACTTTTTTTATTTATAAAGATTCTTAAAGTAATTTAATTGTTTATTAAAAAAAAACATTTCTAAATACTGTAATAAAAAATATCATCAAATTATTTAAGTCGTTTAATAATATTAAAAATTCAGTGTCACACTGAATTGGTCTCCAATGAAGTTCAATACTAAGATCAAAATGAAATATTTTTCATTTTGGGTAATTTTCTTTCAATTTTGAATATCAGATATTATTTATGAGCTTT